ATCAGACTTGGTTGCTCGATGGCCACGGTCGCACTTGTGACGTCTGAAACCAGGCACTGACTTGAATTGCCGATTGCATGTCACACACACACACACACACACACACACACACACACACACACACACACACATACACCGACACACGCGCCGACACACACGTAAACTGGCCTCACCTCGCCCGATACGGGCTCCTTGGCAATAGCATGGTAGGTGTTGGGTGGCAAGCGGTATTTCTCACGTTCCACCAGGAAGTGTTCAGCTGGGATGACGAGACAAATCACCACATAGAACAATCAAGACAGGACAGTGGAAATGGAAATCTAGATCACAACTTAACTTCTGCAGCAAAAACATCAGTTTGCACACGGAAAAGAATAGGAAGCGACATTCCGTGACATAATATTTAGTATTTATCACCAAGGTATGATACTCACCGACTTTCAATCCAACTCCAGCATAGCCCCCGGTGATGAGCGTGACCTCATCCATCTTAGCCAGCAGAGCGCCAATAGCACTGCGTGCGGGCACATACAACAACAGCAGCAGCAACAACAGAAACGACAACAACAATGACAACATCAGCAACACAGCAACAACAGCAGCACTGAACCGTGCTACCGAATCGTTTATTTTTGGGAAATACCGAAAATATTACACCGTTGAAAATTTCCACTTTTACAGTATTACTTTGAAGTATGATTTCAGAGAAATAACTTGCAGGAGACTGGGCTGTACCTGCAGAGGCCAGGGCTGAGGCCGCTGTGAAACTCCACACTGCCCGCGATGAATACTTGCAGTCCATTGGCTGGTAGCTGCTTGCGGGTCTGCGCAACCTGACACAACAACAAAGCAAACAAACAACAAACAGCACACGCACACACACAGACAAACACACATACACGCACACACAAACACAGGCACACACGCACGCACACACACACACACACACACACACACACACAGCAATCATGGGAGAGCACGGCAGAACATACGACTCGTTTTTTAAGCTAGGCATACGGGCACGTGAGTTGCGGCATGATGGAGAGACGGGGGCAGCACACATTTGCTACCGTACCTTCTCGCTGATGTGCAGCTCTTCGGTCGCACACATCGGGACAGCTTGCTCGATGAGCCGGCTCTTGTCAATCGACCCCTGCACGCTCCTCAGTAGCCAGGAGATAAGGCAGCTGTCTTCCCAGGATTTCTGCACCGAACCAGAGCGAACATATGAACAAAAGAAAAGTATCAGACCTCCAAAAGCAATGTGCATGTACATTGAAGTAGTAATTTGAAAGCACTGATAAAAGCTTGCATGTCCGTATTACAACCAGCGATAGTACTTTTTAAACAAACACAACCACTGCTAAGAAATGTCCTTGGGCACTCTAGCCAGCTCGCTACAACTTGCTAGCAGGGTGACATTGGTATCGGTATTCCTTAATTTACGAAAAGCCTGGAAAAGGCAACCCCTTCTCACCAACCGGGGACGGCTGGCTCTCACAGAATGATGAGGACATACTTTCTTTTTTTGAAGTAGGCTGCAGTCCTGTCTGGGAGCGGCTTTTCCTGCCATGCTGCTACCCACATTCAACTGGCCGGGCACAAGGGGTACTAGCACATGGATGCGGCTAATGGGGTTTCTCGGCACTTGTGCCAGTGGTTGTGAGACTTATCCCCTCAACCCCACCGTTAGGCGCTGCATCCGCCGCTAGGGTTTACCGGGTGTTAGCGGCCATCGTGAGTTCCCTTTGGGAACGAACACGATAATTTACTTTTTTTTAGGCTGCAGTGCCATCACTTGGCGAAGGCACTCTGCGGTGTTCTCAGAACTGATATTCGTCTCAACTGACCTTGATCGGGCTTTCGGACAGCAGCTGATGCATCCAGGACGGCATTGGGAAGTCCTCACACATGACGGGTATGATCTGACGTCGACTCTCACTGTAATACAGCTGTAGTCAGGACAACAGGAACACACGCAGACCAGACGGCAACGAAGCTGGATGAAAATTAAAAATCAAACCCGGAACACAGCATGCGCGTGTGTGTGTGTGTGTGTGTGTGTGTGTGTGTGTGTGTGTGTGTGTGTGCGTGTATGTGTGTGCGTGGGTATGTGCACGTGCAGCGTCTGTTGGGAATACCCAAGTAAAAATTAAAAAAACTACATAACAAAATACCACACCGTACCTGTTTCATGCATTCGCTGGACTGAGCGAATGCCTTGGACAGCAGGAAGACAACGACCGTGGCCACGTCGACCTTGGCTGCAAACTCAGTGCACTGCGTGTCACATGACTTCATGGCCTGCTCTCGCTGCAAGCGCTGACGGCGGGCGCGAGGGCACAGGTTCCAGCGAGACTTCTCCGACGAGAGACACTTGGCATCTCCGCCGTTAGCTTGCAACGCGATCTTGGGACACATGGACCAGGTGTCCCAGCGGCGTTCCTTCATGGCCGCCGTGATCTCCTTTACCTGTGTGCCGCCGAGAGAGAGAGAGAGA